CCCAGCTGTCCAGCGCTTTGGGACGTCCTCCCGACCTGAAAGGTGCTCTATAAATGGAATCTTGTTGTTGTTGTTGTTGTACAGGACTCCACAAATGCAAGGATTATTATTTATATATACACACACACACCTTTCACATCAGGAGAATGTAGCTCAGTGATTAGAGCACTCGCTTTGCAAGCGAGAGACCTGAGTTCAATTCCAGGCATGTCAGGGCGAAACCTTGGGCAAGTTTCCTTACTCCACACAAGGCCTAATAATAATCCCTCCAAAACCAAAAACAATAATAAATTGGTCATTTTCAATCTACGACTGTTTGTGGGACATTGCTGTGCGCAATTGGCTGCCGCGTTCGCCCACAAATATACAATCAATTCACTTTACAGTGTGTTCTGTGAAGCGCTTTGGGACGTCCTCCCGACTTGAAAAGCGCTATATCAAATGCAAGGATTATTATTATTATAATGTCTCAAAGAGCTTAACAATGCTGGATACCCATCTCAGGGTAGGAGCCTTGAAGGGTGGGAAGGGGAAAATAACCAAAAGGTATGGTCAAAGGGGTACGATTTGAGATGTGCCTTGAATCAGGGGAGGGAGTCAGAGGAATTCCAGGATGGAGTTCCAGAGAATAGGAGCAGAATGGCTGAAAGCCCACCCGGTGATGGTGGGGCAGATAGGGCGGGACATGAAGCAGGTTTGTATACACACATATATATATATACACACACACACACATATACATTACATTTATATACGCTGAGCAAAGGGAGCATCTGGGTCCCTGTGATTGAAGGAGGTCACAGAGGTAGGTTGGGGTGAGACTGTGGATGTAATTTGAGTCTCCTGAGCCAGGTGGGGCTGCAGTACTCCAGAGCAGTACTTGGAAGGAGGATTGGAAAGATTGGAGGGTTTCAAGGCAGAAGCCAACAAAATAATCACTGGCTGTGCAGTATAAAGGGATTTGTGTTGAAGTTCACCTACATTCCTTCTATTCCTGAGTTAGACAATAGTGCCCCCAGGTGACCGTTTGTTAAAGAGGAAGAAAACTGGTTAAAATACATGCAAACAGTTAATTAATTACGAACCAGGACTAAATGTTGACTGCACATTAACATTTCAGCACATGCAAAAACAGCTAACAAAATGTTATTAAATCAACCAGAATATGTCATTAAATCAACCTGCGGTCCCATCTGGCTCAGGAGTTGTTTTACAAGAACGCCACAGAGGGCTGGCTTGATTCTGACCAAACATTCTCACTTTGGAGCCAGTTCAACTGTAAGAAGAGACCCATTTACCTCCCGCTTTCGAGAAATGGTCATTTTGACATCCGATAAGAGTGGATGGCTTCAACCGGCTTTGAAATTAAGGCAGTGTTTAGCGCTCCAAGACTCTTCCCTGCTTGGAGGGCAATATATAAATACAAGTTGTTTTTCATGAATTGTCAAATTCTAGACATAAGAGTGAATCTGGACCAAGTTGGATTTTGTACACCCCCCCATCCATCTCCTTACAAACCTTAAATTTAATTCGCCCACAAAATACACACTACGCTTTACAGTAAATCCTGGGAAGTACTTTGTGACTTCCTCCTGTATGAGAATGGCACTATAGGAAATGTGGGATTATTTTAATGAGGGGGGGAAGGGGGAGGAGTGTAAAATACACAATCTGTTCAAATGTCAGAATACTTAATTTAAAAGTATTTAACACTAACTTTGAAACTCAAAGTGCCTCAAAGTTTCCAAGTACTTTAACAGCACTAAGATGTGCAGAAATGACACGCAGGCACGTTTATATCCATTTTACATCATGTTTTGAATCTCATTTCTCAAGGTGGCTGAACATCAAATAACTGGAACAACCCAGAAGTGTAAAGTGCTATCCACATAGGGGTATGAGGTGTCAGTTTCTTTTAAAAGATTTTCTCTTTCAAACCCCCAATGTCAAAATTATTCCTTTCCCTTCATTTTCATCAATATGGAAATAAATATCTTTGATGGTTCCAATGGTTTAAGTGAGTTGCAACCGCTTAAGCACTGACCGGGATTGCAACCAGCCCAAGTAGAATAGATTTCTGGTCTCGGTTAAGGTTAGTGCATTTCAGTCAGAGAGCAATATAAGGATTTCGGATCAGTGTAACCTGAGCTACGAAAGAGGAAAGTGCCCAGTCCCCACTGCTGATTGCAAACCAGTGACCACTGTTAGAACGTCATGTGTGTGTGGATGACGATTCTTTCATTTGAGACATCACCTTATCAGTGTTAAGATGTCTCAAAGCATTTTGCTTCACAAGAACTACTTTAAAGGATAAATTATCTTGTTAGATAATTGGTCCCTTGGACCCAAAGGGCTTGGAAAATGCCCAACTTGAGGTGATGTCTCCGTAGGGCAAGAATAGGTATTAAACCAAAAGTGAGAATGAAAATTAAAAGTTCCTATCCTTGATCTTACATCCTTGCAATGGTCACTCATGAAATCATTTCCCTCCCACAAACTGATGTCAAACAAAGCATTGTACATTGTCACAACTGTAGCTAACTTTATACTCACTGAGCACTCTTACACATCAATCTTCGTCATTTATACAATAAAGGACTCAGAGCCCAACACGTGAATGGCAGTATCACTTACAAAATGGTCAATACATCCACAACTTGCATTGTTATAAGCACCCTTCACATGGGGATAGCGTCCCAGAGCGCAGTGAATTCTGTGAAGCACTTTTTGAGACATCCTCCCAGCCAGATCAAACGCAAGGCTTAAAGGGAGTTTCTCTTGTCCATCAATCCCCCAGATAAAATTCACTTCATGGCGACTTGTGAGACATCGCTGGGCGCAACTTGGCTGCTGGGGATTCCCATCCAGAACACACACCATACTTTCCACAAAATCCTCTGCAAGGTTAGTGCATTGGGGAGACATCTGCCTGGCTCAAAAGGTGCTCATCAAATGCAAGGATTGTTTGTAAACACCTGGAAGATTTAATCTGTAATTGACTCACATAGTGAACACTCCTGGCCAAGCTGGTTTCTTTATACACTTACATCATGTGAATTAATTTGTCATTGCAACAGACAGAAATACAACTAGGCTTGGTGGGAGCAATTACATTGACAATAAGACAATAAGCAACTAACTTTATCTGAACTATATGCACACATACACTTAAAATAATGATAGCCAAACCGTCCAACAGAATATGGATAAACTAAATACAAAGATATTTTAGATTCTTAGAAGCCACTAGCATACATTTTATCCAAGTTCGATAATTCTATTCGCAGTTCGTTTGGTAGCACTCTCATCTTGAGTAAGGTTTTGGGCTCAACCCTCAAGTCAGTACTTGAACTTCACAATCCATGACACTTCAATGCAGCACTATATTGTCCAGATGCCATCCTTCAGGTGAGGCATTAAGCCAAAGTTCCACCTATCTATTCAGGTGGAGATCTAAGGATGCTACAAAAGAGTTTCTCCCAGATAAATAATTGGTCATTCAGTCCATGGATTGTTTGTGGGACACTGGGGGGTGCAAATCGGTTTATCACTTTCACCTGCAAAGTTATTATACATTATAAGAATGTTTTGAGATATTACATATTAAATGCAATTATAATGTAAAATTACAGTCACTACTGAGAATTCTGAGTAACGTGTCCCTGAACTGGTTTCAGACCTTGTCCAGTTCCTAGTTACTCTGGATTATTCCATTTGGAATCAGACCTCTGAATACACTGTTAATAATAATAATAATAATCCTTGCATTTGATATAGCGCTTTTCACGTCGGGAGGACGTCCCAAAGCGCTTCACAGAACACACTGTAAAGTGAATTGACTGTATATTTGTGGGCGAACGCGGCAGCCAATTGCGCACAGCAATGTCCCACAAACAGTCATAGATTGAAAATGACCAATTTTATTATTATTTTTGGAGGGATTATTATTAGGAGTGTGGAGTGAGGAAACTTGCCCAAGGTTTCGCCCTCTGCCTGGAATTGAACTCAGGTCTCTCACTTGCAAAGCGAGTGCTCTAACCACTGAGCTACAGGACTCCACAATGTTAAATGTTGTTAAGGGGCAAAAAGCAACATTCAGACTTTAGATACCATCAAGTCACTGCATTTGATAGTAATTACCGTCCGGCTCCAAAAAAAGGCTAGTTCTTTGCCCCCCAAATTTCAGATTGCCATATATAATTTCAGACTAATCAAAACCTTCTAGATACTCCCAATAATATTCCATCTGCACTGCCACTGGGAAAGCAATTTCCAGTTAATTGCATCCCTAGTAATATAATGTACAACTGAATGTTTTTAATACATGAATGTTAAAAAAATCTACAATTTCTGCAAAATATGTTTGGAGTGGGGTAAGAAAGACCTTAATTCAGAACATGGTAATCGAGTAATGCTTTAAAGATGTTGTCATATGTAGAATTATAATCAACTAAATAGGAAGAATCAAGCTCAGGAGATGCAAGGCTCTTAAAATGAACAACAAAGCGAATTAGAAATTAACATCCCAATAAAGATCACCAGGACATGTTTACCTTGGTGTGTTATGACAAGCCACCTTATCATGCAGCTAGGACACATTTGCCCTCAGCACATGTGTGTGTGTGTGAGGGGGGGGGAAGAGAGGAGGAAGACAAAGAAAAAGATTGCTCAGGACTTGTATCCAAAGATGTCATAGGGGCAAATACAAGTGTTGGAGATGTGGTAGAACACTGCTGTGAACAATTGGCTGCCGCGTCTCACCTACAAAACATAAGACAATTCACTTTGCAATATATTCTGTGAAGCGCTGTGAGACATCTAGAAGACATGGGGCAAGATCAAATGCTTATACTAATATGCAACACTCACTGTCACCCCCAAACTGGACAGTTTCCATAAAGATGGATAGCATGCAACAGTTTAGCAAACATTAGTCTGAAACTGGGCAACCCTTTCAAGGGCTTTTCTCACAGCTTACAAAATACTAATGCACATTGTCAGAAGTGTAACAGGTCTGTTTATTCCACTTTTCAGAAAAATATTTGTTTTCCAACAGTGTTGCACCCTGGATATGTAAAAATCTCAGGAACTAAAAAACCTCAAGTCTGTACATAGTTGATGCTGGCTATAGCATCCCCCAGTCTACCACCCTTAAAATGTAGAAATGACAGGATATAAGATTGTGTGGCACTTGAAATAACTGCAGGTAACAAAGACAATGCTAAATCCCAATTTGTGATTACAATGTTTCCTTACAAGTGGAACATTTAAAGTCTCAGGAAGGCTGCGCTCAAACTAACATGAAAATAGCAAGGTTCCCTTTATATATATGAGGGTCATGTGGCTCACACCAAAAACAAGCCTTTTTTCTTTACATCTAAACCCCATACCTTGCTTTTGTAGATAGCAAGTGGTAAAGAAATGAAATTTATTTTCACAAAGAAAATGGGGCTGCTCACTACAGTGGAGTGAGTTATTGGGACATGCATCAACCATGTTTAGGACTGGACTCTCCCTTGCGTCACTAAATGTATTGAGTACTATGTGGCTACAACACCTGACACCTATTTACAACAGCCTCAATAGAGGCTCTCTCTGATCACAAAGAGGTGAAGAAGTCTTAGTAGCCTCTTAATCACCTGTGCACTGACCTTTTTTTAAAAAAAAGCTTGTTCAAAAGTATTGAGCAGAACACACTTCACACAAATAGCAGAGGTGAAAGGGAAGGAAATTTATGCAGATGGCTGTGTGCTATCAGGTTTAGAGCACATCTCTACAGTACATCTTTCCTAACAAACATGCACCAGATGAGTAATCAAAGCAAGAAATATTTGACATGGAAGTTAAGCAGCTGCTGGTTTTGGAGGGACAACCAGGTGAGCTCAATGTCATGGGTCACAACAGCAACACACACACACATACAAGTGCTCAGATCTTGGAGACAAAGTTACATCATGGTGTTTATAAGACAAGGCTCAATACTGCTTACGTTTATTTTATATAGAAAAGTGGGTTGTGAATGGCTAAACAGAATCCGAATCCACTACGCGTCAAGTTTGTACCACATTGCCATAACGGCATAATCCAAAAGGACAGCTTTTTGGGTGGCTCTTCAGGTTTAAAAAAACTGTAGAAATGCGATAGTACACTGTAAACCAATTCAGTGACAATATGCACTACTGAATACCCAAAACATGAAATAAGGTCTGTTTAATCTGTCAAGAGACAGGATGCCAAGCACAACATTCTAAAAGTTCATTCTGCGTTTACATTGTAACTAAAAAAAATCATATGGAACAGCACATTTACACATTGGTAAAACAGAATTTGACAAAATCCACAAAGATGTACCAACAATTTGCCTTTACTTAATTGTAAGTCCATTCAGAAACCTATGGAGTTCCCACCACACTCCATACAACTGCATGACCAACCAGACCATACAGAACTCTGGAATGTCCAACTGTGAGAATGATCAATAGAGGCTCTCTCTGAACACAAAGAGGTAAAGAAGTCTTATTAGCCTCTTAATCATCAAAATGGATCTTCTTTCCCTGAGGTGTCATTCCTCTTCCCCCTCTGAAGCCACCTCCTCCTCTTCCTGCAAATAGAAAAAAGACATTTAAGTCCACAGCTGCAAATAGGAAAATTATCAGAAATATTTTCATTTCACTATAAACAGGGCATTGAAAATAATCCTTTGTTCTAAGCAAGAATACTCTTGGGCAATTGTGGCCAACTATTCAAATCACAAAAGGTCAATCGTATCTTTTCTGGGCAGGGCGAATCGTTGGCCAAGTTGCCTTACTCCACACACCTGTAGAGTTGATTGGCAGATTGCTTTTCCGGGGGTAATAATCTCTTGAAATAATAATTTGGTCACTCAATCCATGACTGTCTGTTGGGACACTGCTGTGCGCTATTGGCTGCCACATTTCACCCATAACATATGCTTTCAATTCACTTTACAGTATATTCTGCAAAGCACTTTGAGGCGTCTTAAAGACATGGGAAGGCACTATATCAAATGCAAGGATTGTCATTATTACACACCTCCAAATCCTCCTCGGCCACCTCTACCTCCTCCCCGACCTCGGCCGCCAAAGCCACCTCGACCTCTTCCGCCGCCACCTCTTCCAAAACCTCCACCAAACCCACCACCGAATCCACCTCTGCTGCCGCGCTGATCACTGCCTTTGGGGCGGGCAAAGTCAAGTGTGATTTTGTTCCCATCTATCTCTCCATCTTCCATTGATTCTTTAGCTAGCTTGGCATCTTCTTCAGATGGGAAGTCTACAAAACCAAACCTAAAAGAAAGCAGTCAACCATATTAAACACTACCTTCATTCAGTCAGTCTATTAATACAAAATAACACGATCTGGTTATTGAAAACTAACAGGCAGTAACATGGTCATGTCCAATGGACTTTGTGACACAACGTGGCCACACACCTTTGCAGCAAAGCATGCAGAAGGCCAAACTGTGATTTAATATTCTTCTCTTGCGAATCCTTCACAGTCACTGATTCAGACATGAAGGAGCTCAATGAGAAGGCTCAGAAAGACAATTTACGAGCCACATACCCTTTCGACATTCCGGTGTCTCGATCTGTGGCAATTCTAGCACTCTCAGCTCCTTCAAAAGCTCCTTTCAAAGTGTCTTCACTGGTATCTTCAGAAAGTCCTCGGACAAACAAGGTCTTGCTGGCACCTAATTAGGAATGTATAGCATTAGAATAGTACAATCCGTTAGCACTATCTAATAATATTAACAAAATAAAAAACCCTATCAACAATGAAATGCTGCCCTTACCGTCCCCACCACCACTAGCCCCTCGCTGTGTTTGGTAGCTGAAGTCCAACCTGATGGACCTTCCATCAATCTCTGTGTTGTTGTGGGTCTCTAGAGCTTCCTTAGCATCATCAACGGAATCAAACTTAACAAATGCATATCTGGTAAAAAAAATAGCAATTGGACAAAAGGTAAAAATGATAGCAGTTCACAAATCTTTATGTGTTCTAACACTTCTAAGTAATACATTGAAGACTATGAATTTTCATTAAATGGCTGTACACTGGGAAGTAAATAACAAACACCCTCCCAAATGATAGCTGACCTAACGGACAAAGCTACCCATTGAAGAAAATTGTCATTTTATTCAGAAAGAACTGAAAATGTAGAAAAGGTACATCTTTTACAGCATTTATCTTCATATTAACCCATTAAATTTTAACCAGCACAAGCTCCCCCCACCCACGCATCCTAATCCACCATTGTCAAGCTGTCTGGGACGCTACATAAATGCAAGATGTTGTTGTATTCTTACCCTTTTGGCTTGCCATTCTTCAGTGGTATATTAATCGACGTTGCATTCTCAAATATGCTCTGAAGAGACTCTTCGTTTGCATTATACGACAAGTTATTTACCATAAGGGTATCGCAATCTAAAAATGAAAGTATAATTGGTTAGTTTGAAATGCCTATAGTGCCTACAACTCTAATGCACTCATGCGATTTCTGTTCATAGCCAGATCAGAACTTGACAGTCTAGAGGTATTCAGAATATTTCATCACATAATTTCAGATAATGAATCATCATTTCCAGCTATCAGAAATAGATACTAAGACACCCACCTTGTGCTTGTTGTCCACCCTTTTGCTTGCCCTTTACATTTAAGCTCTTGTCTCCAGTGAAGTCAACAACAATGGCACGACCTTCAACTTCCATGCCTTGCTTCTCCTCCAATGCTTTATCTGCAGCAGCTTCACTGTCAAACTCAATATATGCAATGCTATTTGAAACAAAAACATGTTCCAGATATTACCTCAAATGCATTTTGTGGCATACAAGCAATATAGTGGAGCCCAGTTATAACTTGGGTTACAAAACTCCAACCAATGCTATAATGTGGCATAAGTGCCATCAGCTCTTACTCACAATGTCTTCAGCTAGCGCAGGAAGTCAGCGATTTGAGTTATGGATCATTACCATCACTTACTATGCACTGGGAATGGGACGGATACCAACCCGACGACTCAGAAATCAACCATTTTAGCTTTTGCCTACATCAGCAAGTTTTTCTTTTCGGCATGCTAGGGAATGGCGCTGATTTTTTTTGATAACATCCAAATCCCAACTGCACAATAAGTAAACTTGCATTCTAATGAAGCACCTTAGAACAGCATTCTACACAGTTAGACTGAAACTTAGAACAAAGCTGAAATGTTAAAGCTTCCAACATACCCCCGACTTCCTGAACCGTCTCGGGCAGCAGGGATTCTTATGTCAATGGCATCCGTAAAAACTTCTTTCAGGTCATCTAGAGTCATCCTGAATGGAAGATTCTTGACAAACAATGTTCTGGAATCCCTTGCTGCAATAAAAAAATTGAAGTTTTAGCTACAAACTATACACAAATAGAATGTTTTTACAGCCATGCAATTACTATTCCCCCCCATTCAAATTGTTTGAATATTCAAACTTTGGTGCAAAAAGAATTGGAAGTTTTAGCTATAATAAACTATATATATATATAATAAACTCAATTCACAATTGTTTGTGCTCTACACAATTGGCTGCCACGTTTGGCCCACAAATTCAGTCAATTCACTTTACAGTAAGCTCTGTGAAGCTTTTGAGATATCTAGAAGATTTGAAGAACACTATATCAAATGCAAGTTTTTTTTAACATATATGTATACACACACACAGAATTAGTTTTATAGCTAATGCAGCTACTGCGCCCCCCGTACAAATCGTTTGAATTTGTACAGGAAAGGATGGAAATGGAAGTGTTTTTTTCTTGAGGGATTATTATTTATTATTAAGATATAATAATCAAGTATCTCTTAATGTTGTGAGAAAATGACTACGTCAGCCAACCATGTGACTTGTCTGAGATTGCCAACAGAGCATCATATTATGTTAGGATTATACAAACTTAAGGCATAGTATATTCTTGCATCTAGCTGACTAGTTTTATGTTGGACACTGGCTTCAAACCTAGGTGCTGGAATCAACAGAATTTTTGCTGCCTTGATACAGGAAACAGAGCACAAACCTTTTTTGTTTTCTGCATTGCTATCTTTGCTGCGGGCTTTGTCGACTTTGATCGCCAGGCCCAAAACTTTGTTTCCGTTGAATTCCAAAGCTTTTGTCAACTGTTCTTGAGTTTCAAAGTCCACATAACCAAATTTCCTGCAAGAAACCATGAAACTTGCATTCAATAAACATAAATCTCAATTTGTTCAGTGAAACCTAAATCCTGAAAGAGACTTCAGAAAATGTTAAAATATAGATATATATTGTATTGTATATATTGTGTATACACACACTATATGGGATTGCTGAATATAATTTTAGCTAAGCAAAAAATCATTAGTATTTAAAGCTTCACTGAAATGTTACCTCGCAGAATAAAGGGAACAAATTTAAGTTCAGGCATTTGAAAAAGAGCCTAAGAGATCTAAATAGATACATTCTCTGTAAGATAGGCAGGAAATATTCAACACTCTAGCCTCAGTTGACAATAGCAACAATAACTGATAGCTGGAAATGCGATAAGCATCCTGACTGCAGTACAGGATCATGCTGTGCTCCCATAAATGACTAAACCTGCTGATTTTCACTCATGGGTACGAAATTGTTGTTGTAAACATGAATAAATACCAATACTCATGCATGATGTAAGCTAGACTCATACCTGCTGGATCCAATTCGAACATCGGTGACTGAAAGCTTCTTTTTTACAAAGAAGTCATTTAATGCCTGCTTCAGTTCTTCAAAACTCTTCTCAGAGTTCAGGTTCCCAACAAATAAAGAGAAACCTGGTTTGAAAGCAAAGAACAATGTAAAAATGAAACCATGTACTTTTGTACTGCAAGTCAAGACTCACAGAAGTTACTCTGAGCACATCAGGAACAAGAATCATCAAGAACTCAGTATTAAGTCCCTTGTAATGATCATCATCTGTGTCAGTAACATTAAAAACATTATGTAGATTAATTGGCCTGCCATATTAATACTGTGAATGCAGGAACAGATTTAGCACAGCAAAAGGAAATACAAATTAAGCAATCCGACTAACATGCTCCCAAATCTTTTTTAAAAAAAAAGAAACATCTAAAGATTTGTGTGGTGGCACAGGCTCAATAGCCTTGGATTCCTAATTTACTATGTCCTTACTCACTGTCCAAGTATCTCCCGATTTAATACGCGTAGTACTGCAAAGCAGGTTTGCATCACTTTGCTATTGGCACAAACAGTTTTCAAATGGAAACTAGTAATAAGCAAGTGGATAGGACAAGCACCAAATACTCTTACACCCACCATCAGCTTCAGTCTTCTGCTTCTTAACTGGAGGCTCTGCTTTCTGCTGCTCCTTCTTTCTCTTTCCAGCTTTCTTTGGTACTTCTGTTAACATCAAAGAAATGTATCAATCAAAGTTTAGTTTACAGCAATACACTTTATACAGAAAAGCAGATATTGGAGATGTAGAGTCAATGAAATGCCACTTGTACCTCAACAGTGTTCTTATGTTTTAAAGTAGACTTAAATTTACCTGCTACTTCCTCGTCATCATCATCATCGTCGTCATCGTCGTCGTCATCCTCCTCGTCGTCATCATCCTCCTCCTCGTCATCAGCTTCCTGAACCTTTACCATACCAGCCTTCTTTGCTTTAGGTGGTGGCGGTGCAACTTCCATGGCTTCTTCCTCATCGGAATCTGATAAAAATATTTGAGTAAAGACTGCACATAAGTTTCACCAATTCAACAGCAGGAAACCTGGGTAGTATTGAAGGAGTTACAAATAGAAAACTCCCCTAGCACCTAATATCCACCTCCATTTTGCAGAGAGGGAAGCAACTGGCACCTAAAACTGGTAGAACTATTGCTCAAATGGGAAGGGACGTGTGCTGAGCCAACCTGCGTCTCCCAATACTTTATGGAATTAGGTAAGCAGGATGGGTCCCCCCAGGGAGAGTGCACACTCCATTCCAACAATTTTCCTCTGGAATTTCCACGTGTAAGTGGGATGCATGGAATCCTCTGTTTGGTTTGGATTAAGCATGGTGATGGGATGTGTCAGGGACATCCGGCCGACTGGGGAAAAAATCCTTTGATAAATATCTCCAGTGATAGTACAAAGATGTTAACTGGAATCAAAGGAAAATAAAGAACTTGCATTGCCATAGCAAAGTTTTTACAAATCTTTTAAAAGCATTTTCATTATTTACCATCCTCATCGTCTTCATCATCATCTTCACTTTCATCCTCCTCAGATTCTTCCTTTGCTTTTTTAGCTACTGCAACCACCTTCTTGGGTATTGGCTTCTCTTCTTCAGACTCTTCTTCTGAAATGAAATGCAACAATTTTTAATTTTTTTGAACACATTTGAGAAAATGGGCATTGGACTCCTTGAAAAAGAGCTTAGGAATCAATTTGGAGACATTAAAGGCATTTAGCCGCTGAGCTCCGGAGTTAGCAGGATAAAAATCAGGACCCTTTTTATCCACATTGATTCAAACAAAGGAATTTTTCCACAGCAAAGTTGGAAGTTAACCCTGACAAAACACTAGCTCTTCCTTCTGCCAGTCTGATAAATGCCAACAAAGCATATGTTTTCACCTCTCTTTGCGACCCCCAGTCCCCTGATGTTCTGTCAGCCTGCCTGTCAGACTTCAGGGGCTGGATGAGCGGAACATTGACAAGATGAAAACCATACTCTTTGGCTCTCGTCAATGTCTAAAATCTCACGGTTCTCACCTCTTCAATCTACCCGACCTTCCCCTAAAACTCTCCGAACCCATACGCAATCTTGGCGTCAGGTACGACCCCCAATTATCCTTCCTCCCCCACACCCGGTCACTCACCAGCCTCGTTTTCTTCCTTTGACGCATCGCCCATCTCCGCCAATACCTCACTCCAAAAAACGCTGAAACCCTGGTCCATGCCTTTGTCACCTCTCGGCTGGACTATTTAAATGCCCTCCTTGCCGGTCTTCGCCTCCACTACCATCCATAAAATCTAGATTATTCAAAACTCTGCTGCCCGCATTCTCACCCGCACCAAACTCCACTCCCCGATTACCCCAGCCCACGCCAGACTGCACTGGCTCCCTGTCCCAGAGGGGATCGATTTCAAGATCCTCACCCTGGTCTTTAAATCCCTCCACTCCCCCGCACCCCCCTACCTCTCTGACCTCCTCTTTCCTCAAAATAGTGCCCGTTGCCTTCGTTCCACCAGGTCTGGCCTCCTCCTTGTGCCCAGAGTCCTCCGCTCCACCCTCGACGGCCGTGCCTTCAGCCACTACGCCCTGAGGCTCTGGAACTCCCTTCCCCTCACCCCCTCTCTTCCTACTTTCAGGTCTCTGCTGAAGATCTTTCTTTTCAACCACGCCTTCGGTCACCTTCCTCCCCCTGGCTCGGCCCCAAGATCCGTTACCGTGAAGCGCTCTGAGACACCGTCCGGCGTGGAGGGCGCTATATAAATCCACGTAGTAGTTGTTGATTTAATCATGTATACATGGCAGGCCATTATAGCACAATGCTTCAGATATGCAAATATCCAAGTGTAAAATGAGTCCACAAAAAGAAATTCAGGTCCGTAAATATCACTTCAGACCGACTGCCTATCTCATTTTACGGACTACAACCACCGCACGTAAAATAACACCTGATCATTGTAGGAGACCTAAAATACTACATTTGTAAAGCATCTTTCACATTGGGAGGGCGAGAATTTTGAACTCTATCCTGAGGGATGGGGAGCCAGGCAAGTGGGGGGTCACAGAGCCTGGTGCAGGAGAGGACACGAGCTGCAGAGTTCTGGATGATCTGCAGCTTGGACAGAGAAGAGCTGGGAGCCTGACTAGCAGGGTGTTGGCGTAGTAGAGCCAATCTATACAGGATAGGTTTCTGGTGGTCTGTGCAGTGGTAGCTAAAGTCACTGAAGGCTGTTGTAGTTTAAGTTAGTCTCACAACCTACTCCCCAGTTGCAAGTGACTCATGCTGAGTTTTGTAAAGAATCCATGCAACACCTCATGACCCAGGGAATAACCTACACAGGAACCTTCGTAAAAATAAAAAAAAACATACCCTATCTACAACATATACACCATCCAATGCTTTCTGCAAAGTTTTGGATTGACTATAAAGGTTACGTCTTAGCAGTAAATTCTGTGAAGTGCTTAAGATATTTGATCATGTTATATAAGATTGTGCACCTTATGAACCCTTCCACATTGAAGTTCAAAAAACAAAGGTTACATTACAAATATTGAGCTTTCTGAAGCTTTTTTACCTGATTCATCATCATCATCTTCATCATCTTCCTCCTCCTCACTTTCTTGTTTCACCACTTTGCCGTTCTTTTTGTTGGCTGACTGTGGTGTCTTAGCAACTGCTTTTGCAACTGGCTTTTTAGCTTTTTTAAAAGGGACCTTTGGTGCCACCTAAACAGGTAATCCGTGATTAATAGGTTATCCGACAAAACAGTAATGTACAGCATCAGACAGCCCACACAAACTGAGCAAATGTAGCTTATCCATCCCCAAGCCACCTGTTTATATCAAAAACAGTTTGAGCAGTTACTTCAGTAATACAAAATATACACATGACCTTTCCTCCTCACACAAAAAGTGTAAAATACACTCTGAAAGCCAAAATTAATTCCATCCTATGCATTAAAACAATTATGACTAAATAGGCTGTAACCACAGCTGCTCCCACCTCTTCAGTTGCTTCCTCTGAACTGGACTCCTCTTCCAAATCCTCAGGAGGTGGAGGAGCGACAGCCTTTTTAGGTTTTCCTTGCTTTTTAGCTGCCTGGCGAGAATAAGCAGACAACTGTCCTTACTTCTGTAGACTGTGTATGTGCATATCCTTACAAAATTTGTTAAGGCAGGATTCTACAAAATCGAAGCTAAATTCAAAGTGAAAACCATGAGAGATGCAACTAAAAAAAACACGTTTCGTTCTTAAACATATCTTTAATCTCTGCACTGGATTCTTGATGCAGTGTTTTTTTGAAAAAAAGGCCGCAACACCAGATCGCAGCCTCCGAACGGGTGCAGACCACGTGTGAAGTGGCCCCACTCCCAGCCCAGGCCAACACGCTGCTAAACAAACGCTGGTGGTGGAGCACGTGTGCGTGTGCGGTGTGTGTGTGTGTGTGGGGCGGGAGCGAAACAATTCAGCGTCGGCCACGTCGATACGTTATAGAAATCTTTATAAAGAAAAGTTTTGCATCGATCGAGTGAAAAACTTAAAACAATTCCCCGACACACACACACACACACAAAAAAAAAACCCCGAAAGGCGACGCTCGCTCCACATAGAAAAAACGTGGTGGTGCGGCTGCAACTCGAACAACCGACCGACAGGGTTGAACTTTATTCTCCCTCCTCCACCCCTCTCCCTCACTCCACTCTCCCCCACCCCCCTCACTCCATCTAACGTAAATGTTTCCAACGCGCACGAAAATAAAACACGAGGAAGAAAGCCCAAGGCTCGACAATGGAAGACAGTAAAACGGGAAATAACAGCAACGGACTGGAGGTGAGAATAGGGGGGGGGGGAGATATAAACTTAAGCAAAGGTGAGTGGGGGGGGGAGGAGGGGATGAGTCGAAGGCCACGCTGGTCCCTTCCTCCCACACACACACACACAGTCAGGAACATAGGCTCTTTCTCCCTCGTCTTTCTCCTTTACCCCGGGGATCAGTGACGAGAAAAAGGGGCGCTCACATCCCCTCGCGAGACTGGGGGAGGGGGGGGGGGGAGTGTGAGGGAGAGAGAGGGGGGGTAACAAAGTGAGGAGAGGCGAGAGAGGACAGTAAAAAAAGGGGACAAGAGAGTGAGAAGGGGTGAACCGAGTGAAGGGGGCGGGGGGGGGGGGAGAAAATGAGAGGGGAGAGAGAAGGGGCAAAAGTGGGTATGGGGGAGGGGGTGAGGGCGTGTGTGTGCGGGGGGCGGGGGTGTGTGTGAAGGAAATGTCGGGCGCAGCAGCAGCTTCTGCCACGAAGAAGAAGAAGAAAAAAAGACCGTTGAAAGCACGAGGCGCTCCGCTCGCGCGCGCGCGCGGGAGGGCCTCTTCCCTCGGCCATGTTTACGGCGCCGATAAGTTGAGGGGAGGAGAGCGCCGAGATTTTTTTCTCTCTCTCTCCGCCTCTCTCCCCCTCACGAACGGGCGCGAAGGAAATAAAGAGAAGAGAATAAAGAGAGAGAGAGAAAGAGAGAGAGGGGGAAAAACGTCGGGACGGATTTAGAAAGGGGGAAAATGCGGCGGGTTCTCGATGGCCAGAGGACAACACACTACAGACACACACACACACACACACACACCACGCGGAGCCTCGGGCCTCAACTCAGGCTTCCGAGGCCTCCGACGGCGCCCGAGGTCGGCGGTGGTGGTGGGCGGGTGAGAGAAACGGGAAGGAAACACACACAAGAGAGCAGAGAGAAGAGGGAGAGACGGGGAGAAAGAGAGAGAGAAAAGAAAATGGATTCTAGACGGAAAAAAAGAAAATGGATTCCAGAACACCACCACACACACACACACACACACACAAAAGGGCAAGGAAATAAAGAGAGAAAAAAGATTTTTTTTTACCGCCCGCCGCTCGGGGAGGAAAAGGAAAAAGGAGCGCGCGAGAGGGTGAGAGAAAAAAAATGTTTAAAAAGAGTCGCACTTACCTTCGCTAACTTCACCATCTTGTTTTTTTTTCTCTCTCTTTCTGTGTTCTTCACAACTCTTAACGCCTTCTTCGAAATTATTAACGTTATCGCTCTCCCCCTCTCTCTATATATATATATAATATATATAACCTATTTATTAGAGAGGACGAACGAAACACACGCGCGCGGGGTCGGTTGATGCGCGTTGGGTTTTAAAACGTTAGGGGTTTTTTTTTCTACAATTTTTTTTGTGGGGAAGGGCAAAAAAAATAGGAATTTTAAAAGAAAGTAAACGAGAAGCCGCGGCCCACGTGCACACCAGTGAGCTGCGCAGCAAAGAGACGGACGGACAGCTCGTGCGCGGCCTGCCTGGCTGCTCGGCTTCCAACACCTCCCGGCACGTGACGCCCTCGGCCAATCGCGGCCCCGTTTACAAAAAAAACTACCAATCCGATCCAATCGCACGCCGCCTTGCAAATCGCCTTTTTTTTTCCCCACCCTCCTCCCTACGCTCCCTCCCTCCCCCCCACCACCAACCTCCTCCCCCCCCCCCCGGTGTCCGCCGCTCCAATCACGTCCCGCCTTCCATTCGCCGGTTTACCCGTCCCTCCAATCGCATCCCGCCTTGCATTAGCGGCTCGCCGTCCCTCCAATCGTACGCCACGCAAAAATCCGAGCGCCCCGCCTTCTCCCCGTGTCGTCCAATCGAAAACTGCGTTGAATCCGTCATTGCCGCGCTCCTCGCGCCCCCCCCCCCATCACCGACAGCCCAATGAACGACCGCGTTGCATTCGCCCCGTCGACGACCAACGATCCTATTGGATGAGCGGCGGCGTGAAGCCCCACCTCCCACCCCCGCGCCCCCCCACGGAGGCGGGCGGTTGAAGGAGGTCGGATGGCTGCACGCGCTCTTTTAAAATGGTGGCCGTGAGCCCCTTGGAAGAAAGAGAGAAAAAGAAAAAAAAAACCCCACAGAGGACGAAAGAAGCGTGTGGTGAGGGCTGCGTTGTGGAGAGGGAGAGAGAGAGGGCTTGTGGTGGATCTGCTGAACGCAAGTTGTTTGTGACAGGGCCCCGCCCGGGGCGCCCACCCGAGAGCCCCCCCCCCCTCCAGCACGTGGTTCAAAATGGTGGCAGCAATAGTCACAGCAGCAGCAACAATAACTCGCTTTAATGGCGTTCCCAAGCACTGGAAGAGCAGGGCGCTGAGCCCATCTCTGTAACCGCTGTTTGCTCTGGCACCGCGTACCATTCCGCCACCCTTTATTTATTGTCGTTATGCAATAAGCAACAGCGGTACCTACCGCTCTCGCCTCGGAGGCAGAAGGTTAGGGTAATAATCCTTGCATTTGATACAACCCCCCTTATCGCTCCTTGGACACCTCAAAGCGCTTCACAGAATATACTGTGAGGTGAATCGACTGCACGTGTGTGGGTGAAGCGCCCCACTTGGAATCACAGTCTTAAACACAGTCACAACATCGCCCGGCTCCGCCACTATCTCACACCGCAGGCCATTCATTACATCGAGGCTTGGCTATACAAACTCCTTACTTGTCAGCCTCCCCAACACCTCCCTCCATAGGCTGCAGGTCATCCAGAACGCTGCAGTCTGTGTCCTCCTGCACCAGCCTCCGTGATCCTATCTCCCCATCCTCGCCCGACTCCACTGTGTTCCCATCACACACAGGATACAATTCAAGATCCTGGTTCTCACCTTGAAAGCCCTCCATGGTCTTGCTCCCCCCTATCTCTGCAACCTCCTAACCCCCTACCATCCTGCCCTCTCCCTCCGCTCAGTGGGTTCCAGCCTGCTTCACGGTTCCCGCCTCACCATTGATGGGTGGGCCTTCTGCCACTCTGCCACATCCTCTGGAATTCCATCCCACAGTCCCTCCACCTCACCCCCTTGTATCCTTCAAGACCCTCCTCTTCGACCGTGCTTTCGTTCACCCTGCGTCCGCCCTAATCCCCAGGTCAGGTCCGAAACGCTGACTGCCCAGCGCCTTGGGACGTCTGTATTGAAAGGCGTTATACAAATGTAACTTTGTTGTTGTAAATTGATTCCAATACAGTGCTGGGGCTGGGGTGCATTGTCGGAGGTTCCATCCTTTGAAGTCGGTGAGGATGGGGGTGATGTACTGTAAAGTGATTCGGCTGTATATTTTGTGGGCAAAACACGGCTGCCAATTGTGCACAGCAGTGTCCCACAAACAGTTGTGGATTGAAGTGACCAATTTTATTATTATTATCAATAATAAATTATTAATAATCTTTTGCTCAGACGAACGCTCGGTCACAAGCCGGCTGGGCATCTGCAACCACTTTGAAAGGGCTTCACTCGCCAGAGTAAACGGCCAGAAAGGTGAGGTCCTATACTTTGGTAACTGGTGTGACCACACGGGTCTCCCATTTGTGGTCAGCCTGGACTACATCAAAGTCCTCAGGATCTAGTTTGGGGCCATGGGAGCGTGGCGCAAAAGCTGGGAGGTGTGTCGAGATGGTGGGGAAGAAACTGGGGATGTGGCATCAGCGCTCGCTGTCCATCACCGGGAAAAACCTGGTTATCAGGTGTGAGGCACTCTCAGTGCTGCTGTACGTGATGGAAATCTGGCACGTACCACCGTCCATCTCCGCAAAGCTCATCCGAGAAATCTTACGCTTTGGGGAACGCCCGCAATGCTCAACACTCCAATCAAGGGAGGCCTTTGTGTGTGACCGACATCAGGACACGCTCACCGTGTAGAAACGTGTAAGAACGGAATGTAACAGAAGATGTGCTTTGTTTTTTTGTTGTACCAAATTTTCCAAAAAAAAAGGTACACTGGCATCGGTGGTGACCTAGCAAGCCAGAAGTGACTGCACTGTGGAACAATCTGGTAAGGTGGGGAGAATCTGATTTTATAGACTCAAACCATTGTGTAACTGCTGTGTAACTGTCTGCCACTACATGGTGTCTTTCACATACATTATACGTCTTACAATACAGTATGGTACAATTTACATTTAAAAGGCAATTTTCACATCGGGAGGATGTCCCAAAGTGTTTTCCACAGCACAAGGGGCGGGGGTTAACAAATTGGTCTGAAATAAATCTTACAGTACTTTATAAAATAAGAAGAAATGGAAATTAAATGAATGTTATATCGGCAAACGCAGCAGCAAATCTGCACCGGCAATGTCCCACGGGGTTTTTGAGCAGGCCTTTCAATGGTAAGTGACTCATAACTATACTAGGCTGAAATAAGTTCAGGGGTTTGCCCATTTTTTTCTTTGCTATCTTGTAATGATTCACATGTGATTAAATGGTTATTTCACAGACATGATCAAGAAAGGGTAGCGTTTGGCAGCATATGTTTGTTGCCTTAATGTAATCACACACCACTTACTTTCCTACTAGATCATAGGTGGGAAGTAATTTCAATTAATGTACAGTCTACTACTATCATATAGTTTAATGAGTGATGCATTGTGTCCTTGGCACATCAGATAATTCCAAAAATACGCCTTGTAATGAACGTTTGATGCATTTCTTCATACTGCAAAAGTGACTCATTGTGGCTTTGCTGACTTCTTACAAATCCGAAGATGGACGGATTGGAATCATGGTTTGAATTCTGAGATTTTCTTTGCTGATGGTTAAACCTCATTGAAAATCTTAATCTTTATAGTCATTTACTGTGTCCACGTTATTACTGCCAAATGTAGTGGCTGTTTCTGCAGGCAAACATGGCAGCTAAATTGCACTGCCAAAGTTCCACAAAGTCCCTTGAGATGAATGGCCAATTAATTTGGAGGAATGTTGGAATGCTATTTTGCAATTGTGTTTGGATAAATGGTGGATTATATATTTTTTGGCCAGCCGGGTGTCTTGACACATGCGGATGCCTATCATCATGCTTAAGAGTATCCAAACCAAACTGACAATTTCATGCATACCACCTTCACATGGAAATTCCAGATTGTTGGAATCAACAGAGTGTGCGTTGAGATACTTCTTGAGTCTGACCAGCTGAAACTACATAGCTTGCCATTGATATTGGTGGGTTATAGAGAAGGTTACAGTGGTTGTAACAATATATTGTAGTTGTTGTAATACAGCATCCTTACATGTAAAATGTTTTCCTAAATTCTGTGCGATAATGTTATTATTTGATCAGATGGGAAAGTTGTTTGGAGTTTCACTTCACTTCTGTTGCTATAGTGGTCTCGAATCTGTCCAGCATCACCATGTTTAAGAGTATCCAAACCAAGGAGAGATTTCCACGCATCCCACCTACACATGGAAATTCCAGAGATGGAATGTTGGAATGGAATGTGCACTCTCTCCCTGGAAGGATGCATCCTGCTTACCTAATATCGGAAAGTACTAAGCGCAGGTTAGCAAGAGCCAAGGCTTGGAGATCCCAGAGTGTGCGTTGATGCAACTGCTGGAGTCTAACCAACTAAAACTGCATAGTTTGCCATTGATGCTGTGTCAAGCTTTCCCGTTGCTTGTCCAGCTGGGACCACCCTACCCGTTAGGGCTTCGGCTTGCAGGGTCAACAGGATCACTCCTGTGGAATGACTCCCTGCTTCCAGTGACTGGTCTGCTCTTCCAGTTCTATTGATGTGCTGTCTTCAACAGTGCCCTGGAATGCCGCCTGGCTCAGGAACCGGACCACCGAGATTGCCACAGAGGGCTGGCTTGATTCCGACATTCCATTGCCAGGCATGTCACCTTGGAGCCAGTTGAGCTCCAAGGAGACCTCTCCGCATCCCGAGGTAGTAACTGAACAGCAAATTCACTGGAAGCAAGAAACAACACCAGTCTGCTTGTACCTGACAGTGAAGCTATAGTTTGGCAAAGCACAACTACAACAACTCACATTTATATAGAGTTGCGTCTTGGAAGCTTTTAGTACCAATGGAGGAGGCGCTGGACAGTCAGTATCATTGACATTGGCGAGAGAGCCTTCAGCCACTCCACCCCCAACCTCTGGAATTCCATACCCTGGTCACTCCGCCTTGCCCTCTCCTAAGCCTCCTTCAAGTCCTGCCTCAAGACCCTCCTCTTCGACCATGCCATCGGCCACCCCGCTTCCCCTTCCACCCCTTCCCCCCCCCCCCCCCCGACCCCAGCTTGGGTCTGAAATGCTGTACTCTGTCCAGTGCCTTGGAACGTCCTCCCGATCTGAAAAGCGCTATATAAATGTAATGTTGTTTTGGACCCGAGCTCAGTCTCTTCTGAGCCCTTTGCCCTTCATCCTCCCTCAGTTGGAAGGATGGAGGGCAAGAGGGAAAGGTGGGTGATCAAAGGCATGGTCGGAGAGGAGGGTCTTGAGAAGGGTCTTGTAGGAGGCAAGGGAGGGGGCGAGGTGGAGGTACTGCGGGATTGAGTTCCAAAG